ATCTAGACGATGGCGCCATTCCCGATCAGACCAGGTAGTAAATCGGTGCAATCCATGGTCCAATCGAGACCTATGGAGCCCTTTCGAGTTCTCTGGTGTGGTCTGGGGCTTGGTCCATTCTGTAAAATTCTACACATCTGTAAAATTGTTCTTGACATCTTTGAATAAAGTAATCTGGCTTTCTTCAAGGTTTTGAATCTTTTATTTATTTATTTATTTTAAACTCGACCTGATTGTATGCTTGTTTTAAACTTGATTATAAGCCATATTTAAAATTTTCTTCCAAAAAATCTAGAAATTTACAAGACAGCAAATGGCTTTTAAGGAAGTTAATTACTTAAAAGCTCTGCAAAACCATGCTCTAAATGATCTCTGTTATGTTTGCTGATGTCTTTAAATTTAAGTATACAAAACTTTTAATTATATAATTATTGAACTTAGATGGAAAATGAATTAGCAATAAAAATGCAATTTGCAAAGAAGAATTTGACTTCGAAATCTGGAAAGAATATACATCGATCCACCAAGTATTTGTTCCAACTAAAAAATATATAGCCAACATTCGTTTAATTGCTCCACATAGCTAAAAAAACAAAAAGTACACTTAACTATGACTATCCTTTTCTGCTTCTTAGATAGCTGATCAGTCGGTCCTTTATTTCGATAACTACGTCTACCACAAATGAAAGGATGGGAATATTACTGGCAAGCAATTCCTGTGCTGTTGCAGTTTTTCTATCAAAGATGTTTGGCCTAGGAGTTAAAGCCATATTCTTAAGAAGAAGAGGAAGCTGCACCAACGCAAGGCACGTGATAAGAATACCAGCAAGCACAGTTATTGGAATGACTTCCTTCTGTTGACCTCGTAGCATCACGTAAAGAGTAGCACAAAATGCTACTGTCATTGTTGCAATAGAGATGAAGAGAAAAGAAAGACCAAAAATCAACTTCATGGGCAAGGACATAAGAAAATCTTCATAAGCGTAACGTGCACTGAGAATCCCCAAAAATATCAACACTGAACTGGCTGCAGTGAAAAGGGAAATTGCATCTGATATTATGAATACCTTAAACGGTGTAACCGTAAAAGATTCTGCCGGTTCCGTTGTGTTCAAAAATATGGGGAAGCCTGTATTTTGATCGTTCCCACCTGGAACAGTAAAAGCCGCCGCAAACATAATAGTTATAATAAGAGCACCTATGACTGTAGAAGATTCTGCAGTTTTCTTCATCCATTCTTCAGCTTCTTTTAACATGTTCTTATGTTCTTTAACAAACACTTGGTAAGGAGTTTCACCATCTTTATTTTTCTGTTCGTTGAAGAACTGTGGAACAATTTCTTCCACCGACTGCATTGGTTAAGTGAGAAAATAATAATAAATCAAATTTAAGAAATTGGATCATTTATGATAAAATGTGACATGAATTTTCATCTTATAAAAAATTAAAAAATCAATAGGGTTAATTAACTCAATTAAACTAATTTTTTTAATTTTTTAAAAAAGATGTATTATTTTTATTAAAATAATTTGATAATTGCATAGTATACGGAATATGAAATTATCAGTTAATTAGAAAAAGAAAAAATGGAGATAAAAACTAAACAATGATTACCTTAAACCAGCGTACTTCACTTTGCAACTGCGAAGCTGCATCGGAGATGCGATCTAGTTGAAAACGAAGAGTCAACTTTGCTGCTAGATGTAAGTTGTTGTTTCCATCTTCATCAATGTCATAAAATATATCTGCCCCATATTTATAAAGATATTTTGCCACTTCCTCCTGACGATGTGCTATAGCATATGCAACCATGGTTATTAAAACTTTATAATGAGTGCTAGCGCTGGCCCACAACAGATTTTTAGTGGGTTCAATTTCAATCACAATATCTGGGATTCCATTCTTAATAGCCTCATAGATAGCTTCCTCTGCTCTATTTTGCGAAAATTGGTCCTGTTGTAAACCTCGCAATTTCTCACATAAGAAACTTACAACCTTACGAGCAAACACACCTGTCGACTTTAGATCATACGTTTGTTTTGCTGATAAAGAAAAAAAAAAAAACATATATTTGCTTTATTCTACAGATAAGAATAAAGAGCACAAAAATAACGGAAAGAAAAAAAATGTATTTGGCCAGTGGTAGTAGTTATTTCTTAGTCAAACAATAAAAATGAGTTGACTTGAAGAATTTTTAGGGAAATTAGGATTAATTAAATCTTAAATTTTGATAATTTTTTACTAAATTATAGATGGAATTTTTTAACTTATACATTATGACACATGTTAAAAGTAACATTTATTACTGCACTTTTTCTCTATTAATTTATGTAAAAAAATAAAAGTTAACTTTAGTTTTATCAAATATCTAATTAAAATGTTTTATGTGCCATTTATGTTGAATATAAAATTTATTTTATAATTTTTTATACAAATTTTTGATGAAAAGGTATAATAAATGCACCCTTAACTTGTGTCTCTTTATGGCACAAGTTAAAAAAATTCATTGAAGATAAGGACACTAATTGATATAGTCTCGATTCAACATGTTACATAATATATTTATTGAAAAATCATTATTTCTTATGATACAGCATGCAAAAACTAATTAAATCAATTATATTTATATTATATTTTAATAATTGAATGAATGAG